AAGAAGAGCCAGTGAGTCGAGCTGAAGAAGCTCCACCATATAATCAGCTGCCAGAGGAAGAGATGCCCTTTTCACTGACGGTTCTTGCCCCATTGTAGGAAGGAACCAGAAGTGGAAAGCAGCTGTTTGGAGTCCCACCTGACAAGTGGCAGAAGCTGCCGAAGGTAAAGGTGAATTGAATCAGTTTGCTGAACTCAAAGCCGTCCATTGAGCCTGGACATTGCAGAAAGAGAAGGATGGCCAAGGCTCTACCTCTAGACCAACTCGTGGATGACAGACAATGCCCTATGGGGATGGCTTGAATGGTGGAAGAAAATGAATTGGAGCCGTAGAGGAAAACCCAGCTGAGCTGCTGATCTGTGGCAGGACATCACTGCCAGAGTGAAGAAACTGGATGGGAGAGGCTGCCATGTGGATGCCCACGTGCCCAAGGATCGAGCTAATGAGGAACAAGCTCATAACAGACAGGCAGACCAAGCTGCACAGGTTGAGGTGTCACAAGTAGACCTAGACTGGCAGCAGAAGGGAGAATTGTTCCTGGCTCGATGGGCCCATGATGCTTCAGGCCAACAGGGCTGAGATGTCAGCTACCGATGGTCATGAGACTGAGGGGTGGATTTAACCATGGACACTATTTCCCAGGTTATCCATGACTGTGAAATCTGTGCCACTATTAAACAGGCCAAAAGACTGAAGCCCCTATGGTATGGTGGACGCTTGGACAAATATAAATACATAGAGGCATGGCAGGTTGATTACATCACATTGCCACAAACCTGCCAAGGTAAATGCTCTGTGCTTACCATGGTGGAAGCGACCACTGGATGGCTGGAGACTTTTTCAGTGCCCCATGCAGTGGCCTGGAACACCATTCTGGGTCTTAAGCAAATTCTGTGGTGTCATGGGACTCCAGAGCGCACGGAGTCGGACAATGGGACTCATTTCAAAAATGATTTAGTCACCACTTGGGCAAGGCAACATGGTATCGAATGGGTATATCACATTCCATATCATGCACCAGCTGCTGGGAAGGTTGAGAGGTGTAATGGACTGTTTAAAACTACTTTGAAAGCACTAGATGAGGGAACTTTCAAGAACTGGGATCAAAACCTAGCAAAAG